TGGGGTGCAGGGCAGGGCTGTGGGGTGCAGGGCTGGGCGGTGGGGCACGGCGTGGGGTGCAGGGGTCGTGGTGGGGCGTGGAGCTGGCAGGTGGGATGTGAGGCTCGGCCGTGGGGACGGAGCTGGAGGGTGGTGGGGCACAGAGCTGGGAGGAGAGGGCGGGGGGCGCAGGGCTGGGAGGGCCCCCCGGGCTCTGCCCCCTCACAAGGTGTCGCGCTGGTTGCGGGCGCCGTTCATCTTCATGGCCTTGATGATGAGGATGGTGCCCACCATGATGCCCACGATGCCCACGGCCAGGCCCAGGGCGCAGACCAGGGTCTCGGTGCTCTCGGAGGCGGGGAGGGGCAGCTGGGGCTCTGCGGAGGGGGGAGGGTGGGTGAGGAGGGGGCGCTGAGCCCCCCTCGCTGCCTGCAAGGGGAGGGGACCCCGGCCCGGCCCCTCTCCTCACCCCAGTGCTTCAGGAGGGGGGTGGGCAGCCCCCAGTGCTCCACGCGGCAGTCGTAGTAGTCCCCGCGGGTGGGGATGAAGGGCAGGTAGGAGAACTTGCGGAAGCTGTGGTCCTCCCGTGGGTAGAAAACGGTCTCGAGGACGCCGTCCGTCACCTCCTGCCCGTTCCTCAGCCATGAGATGGAGATCACGGAGGGCCAGAACTTGTCCACGTAGCAGATCAGGACGTTGGGGTCCCCCAGCTCCACTCGGCGTTTGGGGAACACCGTCACCTCGGGTGGCACTGGGGACAGCGGGGAGGAGGGAGGAGTTAGTGCTGCCCTACAGCCCTAGAGTTGGCCTCGTGGTGCCCGGGGCTAGTTGGAAACAGCCTCCTGGTTCCTCCCTGCCCCCCCAGGGAGACCCCACACCCCAGCTCAGGGCCATGCCCAGGCCCCACGTCCTCCAGGGGCGCAGGGCACTGGGCACCCAACTGCCACAGGCTGCGGGAGAGATGGCCCCATCGGGGTCCCCAGGGGCGAAGGGGCCGGGTTGTTACCGATGGTGGCCTGCGAGCGGTTGGACCTTTCTATCATGAGCTCCAGGTTGTGTTTGGCCGTGGCCGCGTTCTGCAGCGCTCCCTGGGCCTCGAAGGCGGTAAAGCTCCCGAACTCGGGCAGGCGCCAGATGGTCTCCTGCTTCTGCAGGTCCACGTGGAAGACCTCATCAGCGTTGAAGGACTGCTGGTATTCCCCATTCTCCTGCTGCGGTGCCTCGATCCGCTGCTGGAACTCAAACTGGTGGATCGTGTTCCTCACTGCCCAGAGAGGGGCATTAGGGATGGCATGGCCCATGGCCACGTTCTCCTCACCCTCTGGAGCTCCCACCAGGGACACCACATGGAGTCAGCGAGGCTCCACTGGGGACAAGAGCCCACCTTGAGCCCCTCCCCAACACCACAGGCTCGTGGGAGACATGGAGGCCCTGTGGAAGGAAGCCCTTGGCCCCCCTCTTGGCCCCACCTCCAGCAGCGTCCTCTCCAGGGGGGTTGTTCACCCTGAAACTGTGGACAGTGATGGTCTCGCCAGGCTGTGGGACCCTGCCCTGCTGGGGGTGGGGTGGGAGGTGCCAGGCGCCCAGTGCTGGTGACCATCTCTAGTCACTGGGCGCTGCAGGGCCTGGACCCACTGATCCAGGGCACTTTGGGGGGTGGGTGGAAGGGAGACCCAGGGAGGGGTCTCCCCGTTCCTCCAGCCTGCCCTGCTGGGCTGTGCCAGGGTTACCCACAGCCAGAGCAGAGCCTGATCCTGTCCCCAGACCCCCCACCCCATAGCCCCTGGTCACCTCAGACCCACCTCTGTCCCCACACCCTTCACCCCATGGCTCCAGGGCACCCCAGAACCCCCACCCCATGGCCCTGGTGCCCCCACACACCTCTGAGGGCCCCCGCGCGCTGTAGGGTCAGCACAGCCAGCAGCGCCAACGGGACGCCCCATCCTCCGGCCATCGCCTCTCCTGGCACCGGGCAGCGAGAGCAGGAGCGGGCGAGGGGAGGATGTCTCTCTCAGCCAGGGCCCCCATTCCCGGGTGACAGGGCCCCCCCTGAAATACTCAGCCTCTCGGAGGGAGCCCTGGCGCTGACTCGTCTGTTCCCAGGCAGAGCAGCAGCACCAGGCACCCTGCGGAGCAGAGGGAGGGAGGGAATCCAGGACGGGGTCCCACCACCAGGACGCGGTTGCGGGGCGCCCCATCAAGGAGTCTCCCTGGGGTGCAGTCCCTGGGAGCCCTGGGCTTGGCTCTCCCATCCCTGCGGGCATGGGCCCGACCCTGCTCCCTGCCCCGGGCTGCAAGGGGACCAGGCTGGAGCTGGGGGAGAAACGTCAGAGGGTGCCCTGCAGGTCCCAGCTCTGCCTGGTGACAGGTGATGCTGCCCAGCCCCGCTCCTCACTGGTCCTCACTGGGACTCCCAGTCCCGGCACTGGGCAGGAGCGGGTGATACCCCGAACTGGCAGAGTCGGGCTCGCTCAGGGATCCTTGCACCTTTGCAGGCTCTGCTGTGAGCAGCGATGGAGAGCGTTCGTGTGCTGGGAGCTGGGGCCGTGCTGGTGGCACTGGTGGTGCTGGGAGCCCATGGGGCTGGTGGCGAGGAGACCTCAGGTGAGCTCAGAGCCGTGGGGTGGGTGAGGAGGGGTCCCACACGTGCCCTGGGAGGTGCTGGGTGTGGGAGGGGGATGGAGACCCCTTTGGGTGGAACTGGGTGCGGGAGGAGGCTGGGGAGGGAGGAGATGGGTGGAAAAGGGGAGCGGGATGATGCAGAGGGGGGGCCACAGCATCCTCCCAGCTCCCTCGGGGATGGGGAGTCACGGCAGGACCCTGACCTCCCCGTGTCTGCACGGGCAGGGTATTTTGAGCTCCAGTTTAAGGCTGACTGTTCCTTCACCAACGGCACCGAGCGGGTGAAGCTTGTGACGAGAGTCATCTACAACCGGGAGCAGTACGTGCACTTCGACAGCGATGTGGGGCACTTTGTGGCTGACACCCCCCTGGGCGATAGCAGTGCCAAGGACTGGAACAGCCAGCCGGACGTCCTGGAGAGGGCACGGACCGAGGTGGACACAGTCTGTCGGCACAACTACCGGGAGTGGACGCCTTTCATCGTGGAGAGGAGAGGTGAGCGCGTGGCAGAACATTTCCCTGGGGAACGGGCACAAGCCCCGGGCAGCCCCTGTGCCCATCCGTGGGGATGGGAGTCCCTTGCAACAGCCCGTTGGGCATGTCCTGTGTGGGGAGCAGAGAGAGATCCAGGACAGAGTCTGGGCTAGAAGGCTCCTGTGCTGGGCTGGGTGGCCCTTGTGCTCCCCAAGACCCTCCCCAACCCGCTCTATCTCTCCCCCAGTTCAGCCCCAGTTGGAAATCTACCCGATGCAGTCGGGCTCCCTGCCCCAGACCGACAGGCTGGTTTGCGCCGTGACGGGTTTTTACCCCTCGGAGATCGAGGTGAAGTGGCTGAGGAACGGGCAGGAGGAGACGGAGCACGTGGTGTCCACGGAGGTGATGCAGAACGGGGACTGGACCTACCAGGTGCTGGTGATGCTGGAAACCACCCCGCAGCGCGGGGACACCTACACCTGCCACGTGGAGCACGTCAGCCTGCAGCACCCCGTCACCCTGCACTGGGGTAAGGCTGGGGGTGTCACCCTGAGCGGGGAGGGGGGTGCGACCCCCTGGTGTGGGTGGGGAGGGGGCTGGAGCCCCCCAGGCCTGACCCCCCCTTCTCATCCCCGCAGAGCTGCAGTCGGACGGCGCCAGGAGCAAGATGCTGACGGGGGTGGGGGGCTTCGTGCTGGGGCTCATCTTCCTGGCGCTGGGGCTCTTCCTCTACGTGCGCAAGAAGGTGAGGGGCCGGGAGACTTTGGGGGGGTGAGGGGGGGTCTCCTCGGGGATGGGGGGTGTCCCTTTCCCTGCTCCGACCCTGACCTTGTCTCTCATCCTTCCAGGGCGCCGCG